AAAACATTAGAAATTAGTCATTGACTTGAATTCTATTTTGATTAATAATTTAACTTCAATGGATTACAATATTTCCATTCAGAACCAGAAATCCTTCAGAAGAGGAGGGGAAAGTTCTGCACATCTACCCAATCAATTCAATGAATTAATTTATTAGATCAATTCATTGAATATAAAGAAATTCCGACAGTACATATGACTCATTTCCTACATGATAAGTCTAAAAAAATACCCATTATCATAATTTTTCAAAAAATAATTTACAGATCACAGAATACACGATTACCAATAAAACTTGGCATGATTAAAAGTTCAGATTATTCTGAAAGAAGTTTAAAAAGGAAATATCCTCAAAAAATTGATTGGTCTATATTTTTAATAAATTGACCAGATTTAAGCATATCTCCCCCACAATTTTGTGGTACGATTCTCACAACCATTATATCTCTGGAAGATATATAAGTTTAGAGAAAGGTGTCCTAGTATTAGCGGTTATTCAACCGTTGGTTCGTGGATATCGAGAGAATAATCCAAAATTCCATTACCACCCGACAAACTTGAAGCGCAACAAACTTGTCGATGAAAAAAAATATATTGGCGGTGAGGTCAAAGCTGACGCAAGAACCAAGAAAGCATATTGCAAAAGCGTATATTAATAACAAGAACAAGAAAAAGCTAGAAGCTCAGCCCCTAATGAACGATTATGAGCGCAGTGAAACCACTCTGGGTTCTTTCTGCAGTATAATCATTTCTCTACAACGTAGGGTTTTTTGTGTACCTCCTTCTCTGATATTCATAAGCGAACTTGCCTTTGAAAATGTATTTACTGAACTTTAAAATTCAGAACGTTCATACACGCTCCCGGTAAAGCGAGAAGTATCATACGGTGCAAAACTTAAAGATGATGAAGTTAATGAAAAATAATGTTATGGCTGAGTCTAAACTCGTTTTGTCAAAATATATTTCATCTCCAATTACGTGGAATAATTAAGTACTAACGTATAGTACATTTTCATTGGGGATTTGTAGCAGTCGTGTACTGCATGGGGAATACTTGTGAATCCTATACAATTACATCATAGTGCATTGCGCTTCAAACTCACTGACACAATGTTTACTAAGTGGTTGAGTCAATGACTCATCAGACTTCTGTATTGATTTCGTCTTTACTGCTACGTTATCGTAACTTTCCCTCTACTCAAGCCTCGAGACGAGTCTCAAGTTTCGATTGGAATCGTGAACAGGATTTCCCAGGATAATGTTCGGTGAGAAAATAACATTCGAGGTCTCTTGCTCATTTACGGCCAATCAATTATTTGGGGTAGTCTAATTTATTCTACGAGTATTGATTTAAGTACGTCGGAAAATGCCTCGAGGATTTTGTGGATGAGAAATCTGATTTTTATTTATTGCTGCGGATGCAATAATTCATTCGCTAAAACTATTGTGCATGGAAATAGTTCGATGGTATGAGTTTATACAACTCTTC